GGCCAGGTGGCAGCCCTGGCGTCACTCTGAATCTGTGAATCGTTCTTTGCTCAATTAAATTCCGTTAAATTTGGTTTGTTTAAAGTTTGTCTGTTTTTATTTTGGAGACAGGGTCTCACTGTTACCCAGGCTGGAGTGCAGTAGCTGGATCACAGCTCACTGTAGCCTCAACCTCCTGGGCTCAAGCTATGCTCCCACCTTGGCCTTCCAAAGTCCTGGGATTATAGGTGGGGGCCATCATGCCTGGCCTAACATTTACCTTTTAACAGAGGATTTGGCCTTCGGGTCAGCCATTATACTCACGTGTATTATTTATCACAATAAAAGAATACAGGTCAAAATCAGCAAAGAGGCACACAGGGCAGAGTCTGGGAGACACAGGTGCAAGCCTCCAGTCCTTTCCCAGCGGAGTCCTGTTGACAGCGCTTACTTCTCCTGGAAACCATTCCGGGCAACTTACGTGGAGTATTGCCAGCCAGGGAAGCTCCCCTGAGTCTTGGTGTCCAGGGTTTTTATTAGGAGATGGTCATGCAGGTACAGTTGACCTCAGTCACTCAATCTCCAGCCCCCTCCAGCCTACCCCACATCCAGCAATGAATCACATCATTAATTAGCATAGACGGGAATGGCCCAAGGCTCCCAGGTGAAGAAAAACACTCTCAGCCAGGTGAGGTGGCTCAAGCCTGTAATCCCAGCACTTTGGGAGGCCGAGGCAGGTGGATCACGAGGTCAAGAGATCGAGACCATCCTGGTCAACATGACGAAACCCCGTCTCTACTAAAAATACAAAAAAATTAGCTGGGCACGGTGGCGCGTGCCTGTAATCCCAGCTACTCAGGAGGCTGAGGCGGGAGAATTGCCTGAACCCAGGAGGCGGAGGTTGCGGTGAGCCGAGATCGCGCCATTGCACTCCAGCCTGGGTAACAAGAGCGAAACTCCGTCTCAAAAAGAAACAAAAAAAAAACTACTCTCAGCAGCAAGTGTGCTCGCAGTGCTCAGAGAGTCTCTCAGGAGTGGGTCAAAGGCCAAAGCTATTTTTTGGAATGTCCAGGTGTGGACAGTACAGGTTTTCCTTCCCATTAATTCTTTCCCGTTCCTCTTACTGTGCGGGGCTGCCTGGTGAAGAATTTCAACAAAACACCAGCTCCTGCTTGTGCTTGACCTTTGCCAGACCCTGGGCTCAGCCCACAGCACATTAAAACCACCTGGGTCTCCACTCCAGACTGATTTAAATCAGATTCTCTCAGGGTGGGGCCTGGTTCTCAGCATTTTTAGATTGCGTCCTGGGAATTTGGCACTGAAGCGAGTTTAAGAGTAACTGAGTACAGGCTCTGGGACCAGCGCTGTGGAGATGGAGATACGCATATCGAGAAGGGACAGGTTCAGCAGTGGAGGCTGTCAGGGCAGGGAGAGTATTCCTCCCAGAGGGTCAGACAAGGACCATGGTATTCATGCTGGTGTGGGAGGACCAGCAAGATGGAAGCCTTGGAGGAGAAGGAGGTGTAGGAACAGAGGAGCAAGTCCACACAAGCGGCTTGAACCAGCGTCAGGAAAGGGCAAACAGGCCGGAAGACACCGAGGCCGGATCCAGAGCGCTTGTGCTGTTGGACTTGGCTCTGTGGCTGAGTGGCATCTGCCGGAGCTTTTTGCGCCAGAGCCTGTCAGGCTCAGAGCTGTGCTTTAGAGGAAGCAACTGGTAGTCATTCTCCACCAAGTGTTCATCCCAGGCCTGCAGCATCCCAGGCCCTGCTATAGGCGCGAGGATACAGCAGGGAACAGCACACAGTGTCTGCCACCGTGAAGCTGGTGCGGAGGGAGAGAGGGGGACAAGTAAACAGATCAGAATACGACGTGCCAGGTGATCTAAGTGCCATGGAGGAGGAAGATGACACGGGGCAAAGGCGTGGGGAGTGGGGGCGGGCGCTTTCCACGGGGCAAAGGCATGGGGAGTGGGGGCGGGCGCTTTCCACAGGGCAAAGGCGTGGGGAGTGGGGGCGGGCGCTTTCCACGGGGCAAAGGCGGGGGGAGTGGGGGCGGGATGCTTTTTACAGTAGGATGTGGGGAGACCTCTGTGATAAGGTGACATTTGAGAGGAAGTCGGTAAGGTGAATGTCTGGGGAGAGGACACTCCTGGCAGAGGTAACAGCAAGTGCAGATGCCCCTTCGTGGCTATGAGTCTGATGTCAGTGGGAATGGGGACATGGGGGCAGATTTTAGGACGTTTATGGAGAATACACAAGATTTATGGTTAATTGCATGGTAGGTAGATGGTGTGGCTTGAGGTTGGTTTAAGGCAGGGGCGTCACCACTGGCTACACTTTAAAATCATGAGGGGAACGTTTAATAATTCCAGTGTCTGTGCCCTGTTATTTCGTTTATGTGAAGTTCAAACAGACAAAACATCAAGAATGTATAAGAAACTGACTACCCAGTTATAAGACAGACAATACACTTTAAAAATGGGCAAAAAAATGCAAGTAGTCCTGTCACAAAACAAGATGGACACATGGTCAGCTGAGGCAGGTGGATCACAAGGTCAGGAGATCGAGGCCATCCTGGCTAACACAGTGAAACCCCATCTCTACCAAAAAAAAAAAAGATTAGCCAGGTGTGGTGGCATGCGCCTGTAGTCCCAGCTACTCGGGAGGCTGAGGCAGGAGAATTGCTTGAACTCAGGAGGTGGAGGTTGCAGTGAGCCGAGGTCGTGCCAGTGCCCTCCAGCCTGGGTGACAGAGCAAGGCTCTGTCTCAAAAATAAAAATAAAAAAAAACAGAAAGGTAACTAGTCAGCAGAGATGCAAGTTAAAACCACATTGAGATAGCATTTTATTTTTATTTTATCTGAACTGATTTATGTATTTATCTATCTATTTATTTTTTTTTTTTGAGACAGTCTTGCTCTGCTGCCCAGCTGAGTACAATGGTGCAGTCTTGGCTCACTACAACCTCTGCCTTACAGGTTCAAGCCATTCTCCTGCCTCACCCTCTTGAGTAGCTGGTATTACAGGCATGAGCCCCCACCCCCAGCCGAGATACCATTTTACATAACCAATGGGAAGACTAAAACTTAGGCTGACCAGAGTAAATACAGACAAGGGTGGGACACCTGGGACCCCAGACATTGCTGGGGAAGGTGACACGCTGCAGCCACTCTGGCCAACAGTTTAGCAGTTTCTTTTGAAGTAAAACATAAATTTACCATATAAGCCAGAATTTTTGCTTCTAGGTATATACCCAAGAGAAATAAAAACATATATTCATAGCCAGGCACAGTGGCTCATGTCTGTAATCCCAGCACTTTGGGAGGCTGAGACAGGCGGATTGCATGAGGTCAGGAGTTTGAGACCAGCATGGCCAACGTGGTGAAACTCCAACTCTACTAAAAATACAAAAAAATTAGACAGGTGCGGTGGCAGGCACCTGTAGTCCCAGCTACTGGGGAGGCTGAGGCAGGGGAATTGCTTGAACCAGGGAGGTGGAGGTTGCAGTGAGCCGAGATCGTGCCAGTGCACTCTCGCCTGGGTGACAGAGTGAGACGCCTGGCTGATTTTGTATTTTTGGTAAAGACGAGGTTTCTCCATGTTGGTCTCGAACTCCTGACCCCAGGTGATCTGCCCACCTCGGCCCCCCAAAGCGCTGGGATTATAGGCGTGAGCCACTGTGCCCGGCAACAGCTTTCTTCGTAATAGCCAAAACTGGAAACAGTTCCAATGTCCAACAGCAGGTGAATGTATAATCAAATTGTTGTTTATCTAAACAATGTATATTAGTAATAAAAAGGAATGAGCTTATAATGAATCTCAAAAAGATCATACTGAGTAAAAAAGCCAGACACAAAAGCCTAACTATTGTATGATTCTAGTCATAGGAAATTCCAGAAAAGGCAAAACTGTAGTGAACGAAAGCAGACCTGAGTTTGCCTGGGGTTGGGACTGGCAGGGAAATGGACTGCAAACGGGCACACAGGAGGATTCTGGCGTGATGAAAATGTTCTTTTATGACGGCGGAGGTGGTTGACACAGGTGAACATATTTGTCAAAACTCATTTGTACACATGAAATTGGTGTTTTTTGCTTTTCTGTTTTTTTGTTACTGCATTCCACTGTTACTCACACTGGAATGCAGTGGCACAATCGTGGCTCGCTGCAGCCTCCACCTTCTGGGCTCAAGTGATCTTGCCACCTCAGCCCGCTGCGTAGCTGGGACTACAGATTTGCACCACCACTGCCAGTTTTTTGTAGAGATCGGTTTCACCACGTTCCCCAGGCTGGCCTCAAACTCCTGGGCTCAAGCAGTCCGTTCGCCTTGGCCTCCCAGAGTGCTGTGATTATAGGCATGAGCCACTGCACCTGGCCTGGTGTATCTTACTGTACATAAATTATTGTTTGATAGATTGACTAAAAAGAAACCAGACAAAACTCATCTTCAATGGTAGCGGTCAGAATAGTAGTTACCCTGGGGGAGGATTCACTGGAGGAGGCGCAGAGTAGCCTGCTCAGGGACTAGAAATGCCCTATACCTTGATCTACGTGTACCACAGAGGTGTATGTCTGTGGAAAGAATGATTGAGCCACATGGTCAGAATTTGTGTACTTTACTATATGTGAATTATACCTGAATTTTTTTTTTTTTTTTTTTTTTTTGAGACAGAGTTTCCCTCTTGTTACCCAGGTTGGAGTGCAATGGCACGATCTCGGCTCACTGCAACCTCTGTCTCCTGGGTTCAGGCAATTCTCCTGCGTCAGCCTCCCAAGTGGCTGGGATTACAGGCATGCGCCACCATGCCCAGCTAATTTTTTTGTATTTTTAGTAGAGACGGGGTTTCACCATGTTGACCAGGATGGTCTCGATCTCTTGACCTCGTGATCCACCCGCCTCGGCCTCCCAAAGTGCTGGGATTACAGGCGTGAGCCACCATGCTGTGTGAGCACTGCTCAGTACCAAGCTTGGATTTTCTAATCTTTTCAGGCAGATTCGTGGGAAGAAAAACACCAGCCGAGGTATATAGAGAAAAAGAGTTTATTTACAAAGAAAGAGAAAGAGTTTATTTACAAGGATACCTAGAGACGCTCACAAACTTCAACACCGGCAGTAAAGCAGCACGGGTTTTCGCAAGTCCAAACCAAATCACCATCGAAGCTCAGTTCGGCTTCTGCTAAACAATCTTTTATACTTTTTAAAACAAAGAAGGGTCAAGTCAGGACACTGTCCATGTCTTCATCATGTAACTAACATCCTTGAGGTGTTTACCAAAAATTGGATCAGGGAACTGGCCAGGTTCCCAGGTCCGGCTCTTCAGAGCCTTATTTTTGCATTGGGAAAATTCTGAGCTCGGAATACTCCCAATGATAAGGAATTGAAGACAACATAAAGTCTGTCCATGACTTGTAAACTTAATTAACTCCTTCTGTTCCATTACAATTCAGCCCTAGGCATGGGCAGACTTATTATACACATAATAGTTGTAAGTAAATGCATCATATAAATTCTTAATGCGTTGATATAAGTACAAAGAACAGCAACAACTACATATACTAATAACTATTAAAATGAATACTATCATGAATAGTGGGACGAATCTATATGTCACTGATGAGTGTGTGAATAACCAATCCCACCAGTGATGATTACTATCTGTTGCTATAGCGTGGGAATAGTCCTGCAGTTTATGACTTACTATGGTGGTTTGTAGTCTATATTCACTTAATTGTCGATCTCTTTTCTGTAATGTCTGATTTAAAGCTTTATTTTCATATAATATAGTAGTTAGATTTAAATAGGTTTCCAACTTTGGTTGGGGCAGGCTTATTGGGTTGAAAGTGACATTTTCATAGTCAATAATTGGGGTTAAATAAATAGTAGAATTATGCCAGGGAAAAATAGAGATATTATAAATACATCCAACAAATGGAAAATCAACTTGCATATATGACAATACTTCAGATTGATTGGATACAATACATAATGTATGAGGCTGGACTTCAAAAAGGACAGTGTAATCACTTACTGGTAATAAGGTAAAAATACAGTGATTAACAGAAAAATGCAATAGACATGGCTCCATCTGTTGTTGTAGATCAGTGCATACTAATCCTTTTGTAGTTACAGCACAATCATTGATTTTATATGTTATATTTCTATTGTCAATGTGGGTACCACAAAATTCTGGTTGCAAATAATAATAAGGGTATGGAATTGGCAGCACATGATAGGGACATAGCATAGTAGTTAAATCTTGTTTACAACAGGAAATATTCACTTTAGAAGTGACATTAATAGTAATACTATCATTACTATAAATTATGCCTCGAGCAGGTTTCTGTCCCATCCAATAGGTAAGTGTAGTGTTGGTATCTCCACTAATAGTAAGATTGGTATGGTGACAAACTTGATTAGCAGAACAGTTGTAAGAGTCTTGGCTTCTTACTTTTGTGGAGTTGACCCATCCCTACTGTAGAATCATGTGTCCATTGCTGGAAGTAGTTTGGTGAGACACGATTTGTCCGGGGGAAATGGGCCAAGCAATCCAGATGTGAGTGCTAAGGATAATACCTGTGAGTACACAAATCTATACACGATGAAACAAATGATCAGTAGGTACTAATATAGGAGTATCAGCGGGGGGAATTAGGACATATACACAGTTATTTCTTCCTTGTGCTACTATCTCTCCAGCTTGTAATGGTTTATGGGGAGATGTTTGTACCCAAACATGACCTGATATTTGTTTCTTTTCATCAGTACTGCCAAATCCTAAATGAGCTGATTTTGGAGGGAACCTTTGTGATTCCCATACTGTGTTTTGTAAAACTGGAATTATTAATAGTTGTGCTATTCGGTGGCCTTTAGGTAAGATGATATCTTCTTCACCAAGGTTATAACAAAGCACTTTGATTTCACCGTAATTATCTGAATGAATTATTCCCCCTAAGATTGTCATTCCTTTTTGTGCTAGACTAGATCGAGCAGCTATTTGTCCATAATATCCTGAAGGTAACTGTAAACCTATTCCAGTGGGTATTACATGTTGAGTCTTGCTATTTAATTTGGTTACAGAGTAGTTAAATAAATCATAACCTGCAGCAGTACTAGTAGCATTCCCAGGTTGTATTGCATCTGGGTGGAATCTCCACCAGGAGATAGTTACAGGCTCATGTGTTACTTGGGATCTGATCTCAACTGTATTAGAGGAATATATCATCCGTTGCAATGGGGTTTCGCCACTGTTTAGGGGTCTATTATTAAGTTGTTGTAAGGCTGGTAATAAAAAGGTTTTCCATCCTGAATACATTGGATTGGTTAATTTCTGTAGTTTTTCCTTTAATAACTCATTCATCTTTTCAATGAGGCCTGCTGCTTGTGGGTGGTATATGATAAATCCATTCTATATTATATTGAGCACAGTAATCAGTAATTAACTTACCTTTAAAATGAGATCCGTTGTCACTTTGTATTTGTAATGGCACTCCATAATATAAAATAATAAAATCTAAGGTTTTCAGAGTATTTTGTTGGGTGGCCCGTTTATAGGGACATCCAATAAGCACACCAGAATAAGTATCTACAACAGTGCATATGTAAGTGCACCCTTTAGAAATGGGGAGCGGCCCTATGTAATCTATTTGCCAAATTTGTGCTGCTTGTTTTCCTCGAGCTAATTCTCCTGTGACGATACGGGGGACATTTTGCAACCATTCTTGGTTACAAACTGGACACTGTGTTGTGATGGTTTTACATACATCTAATGGCAGGTATATGCCTCTCTGTTGCGCCCACCTGTACATAGCTTTGGCTCCTGCATGTCCAGTGTGTTCGTGCACCCATTTTGCGCACTTGGGATGATCTTCAGGGTAAGTATTAGAGCTAATTTGAGTTAATTGGTCAGTCTTCTTATTGTAAATACGTTCAATAGAATCAGTAGGCACGTGAGCGTCTACGTGGAAAACAGAAACATTAGTACTTTGCAATACAATCCATATATTTTGCCATAAGTCCTTTCCCCATAAATCACGGTCACGAATCTTCCAATTATCATGCTGCCATTGTGCAATCCAGGTTAATAATCCCATCTACACAGACCAGGAATCTGTGAACACATGACATTCTCCCCCATATTCCTTTTCCAGGCACAGCCAGACTGCGTGTAATTCGGCGAGTTGGCTGCTGCCGTTTGCTCCACTAGCTTCTAGTGTACAATCCAGAGCGGGATTATACGCTATAGCTTTCCAGTGCCGCTTTCCCCCTATGTACTTAGCAGAGCCATCTGTAAACCATGCGTGCTTCTGTTGTTCTTTACTTAAAGAGTCATATCCTTTATTAGCCCAAACTTTACTGTCAATATGTTTAACGAGTTGATCATGATTACCTTCATCAGTTGGGCAGGAAAAAACTTTTTCATGTAGCTGCAAAACTCCAGTGGGGCCTGGTTTAGCACGATTTTGTATATACCATTTCCATTTAATGACATGGGATTCTTGGGCATGTCCAATCTTATGTGATACCGGGTCAGAAAGTACCCACTGCATTATTGGAATTTGAGGGCATAAGATTACTTCTTTATCGGTGGTTAAATGTTCTGTTTCAGACAAGGCCCAGTAAGCAGTTAATAATTGTTGTTCTAACTGGGTATATGGGTTTTTACATTGGGGCAATTTTCGAGACCAAAATCCTAATGGAACTCGTTTACCATTCTGCTTTTGCCAAAGACTCCAATTAGCATGTTCACTTTCCACACTAGTCATTAATGCAACAGGTCCTGACTGTAGGGGCCATAAATCTAAGGCTTGCTGGATTGCCTCTTTAGTTCTCTCAAAAGCATCCTGTTGGTCTTGAGTCTATTCAAATTGGTATTTTTTCCTAGTTACTTTAAAAAGTGGTTGTAATAGCATTCTCAAATGGGGCATATGATATCTCCAGTATCCAAATAAGCCAATATATTTTTGTGCCTCCTTTTTGGTAGAGGGAGGGGGAAAATCTAATATTCTCTGTTTTGCTTTTGGGGTAATGGCTCGTAAGCCATGATCCCAATATATTCCTAAAAATTTTACATGTTGACTGGGTCCCAATCAGCTTTAGCAGTTGCAATGACAGCATGCACCTCCTTTGCATTCACTTTCCCCTTTCGTTTTCTATATTTATACTGTGCACACCATACAGCAGCCTTTTCAGCTACTCCCTGATATATTCTTGCCTGGTCACCAAGGATAAAATTCTGACATTGTAACATAGACAATTTGCCTTGTAAATCAGCCAATTCTTTTTCTCACTGCAATTTTTCCTGTATAAGGGCTTGGCGAGCTAAGTATTGTTTCCTATAAGCAGACAACAAAATCCAGCCTCGTCTACTAATGGCAGCTAACTCCTTTCCTTTATCTACTGACACCAGGTCCAAAACTTCACATACCTGTGCGGGATCAGCCGTCCTAAGGCGGCCGTCCCAATTTTCACTTAAGCCAGTGCCAGAGGCCCAATTACGAGCAACAGAAACAAACACAGGATCTTCCCAACCAGGAATTTCACTAACTACAATTTTAACATTTTTTTTAAAGAAAGGCATGATGCACTCCTTCTCCCCGAATCCTGCCGACTATGCCAATTTTTGTGTGAGCACTGCTCAGTACCAAGCTTGGATTTTCTCATCTTTTCAGGCAGATTCGTGGGAAGAAAAACACCAGCCGAGGTATATAGAGAAAAAGAGTTTATTTACAAAGAAAGAGAAAGAGTTTATTTACAAGGATACCTAGAGACGCTCACAAACTTCAACACCGGCAGTAAAGCAGCACGGGTTTTCGCAAGTCCAAACCAAATCACCATCAAGGCTCAGTTCGGCTTCTGCTAAACAATCTTTTATACTTTTTAAAACAAAGAAGGGTCAAGTCAGGACACTGTCCATGTCTTCATCATGTAACTAACATCCTCGAGGTGTTTACCAAAAACTGGATCAGGGAACTGGCCAGGTTCCCAGGTCCGGCTCTTCAGAGCCTTTTTTTTGCATTGGGAAAATTCTGAGCTCGGAATACTCCCAATGATAAGGAATTGAAGACAACATAAAGTCTGTCCATGACTTGTAAACTTAATTAACTCCTTCTGTTCCATTACACATGCCCGGCCTATACCTGAATTTAAAAAGAAGAAGAAGAAATGGCCAAGCCCTATTCCTGGAAATTGAGGTTTAGTTGGTCTGGAAAGGGGCCCAGGCATTGTTATTTGGGAGTTCCTGGGGGACTTCAGTGTTCAGCTGGAGTTGGGAGCCATTGATTTAGGGCCAGCACGAGTCGAGTGTTGAGTGTGAGTGACACAGACTGTCCTGATGCCATGGGCCGTCCCGTGGCGTGTTCGGGAATGGGGACGCCGCTCAGTTCCCCCTCGGCTTTCTAGTGATGTGAGGGGAGGGTGGCTTCCAAGCTTCCGCGTGGACATACACGCAGCGCGGAGCAGTGAACTCCAGGGCTGGGGCTGCAGACAGGGCGCACTGTGTGCTGAGTCTCGGTGTGGCGTTTGCTGCGGCTCAGGCTTCTTTTCTGATGCCTAGGGCAGGATGGCAGCAGATGAAAGCTCGCAGGACACTTTGCGGCTCCAGTTCCAGGCGATGCAGCAGATGCAGCACAAACGGCTACAGAAGCAGATGGAGAGAAAGAGGGAGAAGGAGCTGAGCCCCAAAAGCAGAGCTGACGGCCAGGAGGAGCCCTTGGAGGTCCCAGGTGGTCTCAGCCTTCTCCATGCTGGGGAGCCACACTTGAAAAACAGCTTTGAGAAGAGGTAAATGCAAGTTTGAAATCTCTCAGGGGTGTGTGTGCGCGCGCGCGTGCGTGTTTGCGTGTGTGCGCGCGTGCGTGTTTGCATTGTGTGCGCGCATGCGTGTTTGTGCGCGCACATGTGCGTGTTTGCGTGTGTGTGTGCGTGTGTGCGCGTGCGTGTTTGTGCGCGCACACGTGCGTGTTTCTGTGTGTGCGCACGTGCGTGTTTGCGTGTGTGTGCGCGCATGCGTGTTTGTGTGTGCGCACACGTGCGTGTTTCTGTGTGTGCGCACGTGCGTGTTTGCGTGTGTGTTTGTGTCTGTGTTTGCGTGTGTGTGCGTGCGTGTTTGCGTGTGTGTGGGCGCGCACGTGCGTGTTAGTGTGCGTGCGTGCGTGTGCGCGCACGTGCGTGTTTGTGTGTGCGTACGTGCATGTGTGTGCGCATGCGTGTTTGTGTCTGTGTGTGTTTGTGTGTGCGTGTTTGCGTGTGTGTGTACCACAGGATAGAAAAACTTGTAAAATGCAGCTGAAGTGACAGAAGGAAGCTTCAAGCCTTAATCATACCTGCATTTGCCAAGTTCTAATACAGCTTCTGTAGTCAATCCATTCTAAATGCTTTCTTTATATACGTATTATGATTTCTTCTTAACCCATAAATCATTTAGGAGTATCGAGTATTTTTCTAGCTTCAAACATATGATGAGTTTTGGGTTGGTTGGTTCCCTCCCTCCCTCCTTCTTTCCTTCCCTCCCTCCCTCCTTCCCTCCCTCCCTCCTTCCTTCCCTCCCTCCCTCCCTTCCTCTGTCCTTCCCTCCCTCCCTCCCTCCCTCCCTCCCTTCCTCCTTTCTTCCTTCCTGCCTTCCTTTCCTTTTTGATGGAGTCTTGCTCTGTCACCAGGCTGGAGTGCAGTGGTGCCATCTCAGCTCACTGCAACCTCCGCCTCCAGAGTTCAAGCTGTTCTCCTGCCTTAGCTTCCCAAGTTGTGTGCCACCACGCCCAGCTAATTTTTGTATTTGTAGTAGAGACAGGGTTTCACCATGTTGGCCAGGTTGGTCTCCATCTCTTGACCTCGTGATCTGCCTGCCTCAGCCTCCCAAAGTGCTGGGATCACAGGCTGAGCCTCTGCACCCGGCCCTTGTTTTGTTTCTATTTGTTACTATTGATTCTAATACAGTCACTTGCCATTAGGGAAAAGAGTCTGTATAATGTTATTATTTGGAATTTGCTGAGATTGCCTTTATAGCTTATAATACTTTCTCTTTTTTTGAAGAGACAGGGTCTTGCACTGTCACGCAGGCTGGAATGTAAGATCGCTCACTGCAACCTCAAGCTCTTGGGCTAAAGCAGTCGTCCCAACTCAGCTTCTGGAGTCACTGGGATCACAGGTGTACACCACCACGCCTGGCTAACTTTTCCTTTCATTTTTAGAGACAAGGTCTCTCTTTGTTGCCTAGGCTCGTCACAGACTTCTGCCTTGGCTTCCCAAAGTGCTGGGATTAGAGGTGTGAGCCACCACACCCAGCCCTATGGTATGTTTTATGCATGCTCCATGGATGCTTAAAAGAAGTATGAATTCTAAGTGGGGGCTTTTATAACTCCCTATTGAAGCCAGCTAATGAACACAGCATTCAAACCTTTCTTCATTCACGTGTGTGTGTCTGCATCTGCATGTCTGTGTGTCCACCTGGGCACCGGAGACCTGACCCCTGCCCACCAGGGCCTTTGCCTTGAAGGAGCAGTAATTCTGCTTTTGCTTTGTAGGGTGCTTGAAGATGAGATCGAACACCTTCGAAACGAGCTCAGGGAAACCGTGGACGAGAACGGGCGACTGTATAAACTGCTGAAGGAAAGGGACTTTGAAATCAAACACCTCAGGAAGAAAGCAGAAGAGGACAGACTTGCCTTCACAGGTAGCTCCACAGTGTTGTGACAGTCCTTGCCCTGCAGTCCAGGGACTTCAGACAGGGCAGACAGCACGTTCGGTGCCACGAGGTGCCAAGGGTCAGTTGTGGTCAAGCTTGTCCTGGAAGTGATGGAGGAGGGTGGAGGAAAAGAGCAGGCCCAGGGAGGTCAGCCCGCCAGAAAATGGGAGCACAGGGGGCAATGAGGGATTAAAACATGGGCCAGCAGGCAAGCCTCCTAGGCAACGCCGGTGACCCAGCTGGGCCTCGTGACTCGCCATCACGCATTACGTTCAAGGGCTGGCAGGGTGCGTTCCTCTTTGGTGCGCTGGCTCAGATGTTACGATGTGGACATGAAAAAGCCCCGGCAGCCTGCGGTGAGCTACGATCACCCCACTGCACTGAACCCTGGGCACCAGAGTGGGATCCTGCCTCAAAGAAACAAGAAGCTCCAGTAGAGACAGGCATTAACTTTACGGCACCTGCTATTGCTGCTCCAGGAAGGTAGATTGAGACAGGGAAGCCACCTGCTCCGGGCGGATATCCTGGGACCAGCCACCAATGTGGGCTGGGCCGGGCCTTGCCCTGTAAGCCTGGGTTCATGGAGACCTAGGCCCCATGAGTCCGGTGAGGACCATGGCCTTGCAGGTCTGGGAGTGACCTTCGATCTGCGGGTGTGAGCTGGACGTCGGCTCTGTGGTTATGAGTTTGACTTTGGCCCTGCAGATGGAGGGGGACTTTGGCCCTGACTGTCATCTGCTGTGTATACACCCATTGAGCAATTCCCAGGCGGCTCATAAATCAGAAAGTTTTGTAGATGTCACCAGTCACAGAGAGCAGCAGGGCTGACTCTGCACCCACCAGAGTCTCTCCCTGTCTTTGCGAGTAAATGCATTTGAGGGCAGGACCAAAGCTGTGGTCTGTCACTGCTGAATTACAAAGCCAGGGGAGTTGGTGTCCTGAAGACCCAGGCTGGCCTGATGCACCTCCCTCCATTCTTGGGCCTTTTCTGTCTGAAACAAAAAACGCAAACCTTGAAGACAAGTCTTTGTATTGTGAGAAGTAGATAAACTCAGCCTGGCTGAGGATCCAGCTGTGGAAGGGGCCGCTTGCCCGTCTGCAAGGTATAGAGAAGCTGGTGGGCTCCAGTGGGTGCAGGAGACGCCTGGGCAGCAGACCTGGGGTTCCTCCCTCAGCCCCGCTCCTTCTTCACTGTCTCTTCCAGTCTTTGCTAACACACAAATTCGGTCATGGTCTCATCTGACTGCCAGCCCTACGTGTCCCTGAAAACCACTGAAGTCCAGTCTTCACTCCGAAGTCACCATTTCTGATTTCCATTTTCACATTTCGGAGAGAAAATCCGACAAGCCCATTTATGCTTTCAAACCGTGCTGCAAGTGACAGGCTACTGGCGGCTGATAGATTGGTTCCCTTTGGCTGGATTGTTAGTGATTGCTTTTGGCTTTTGTTTGCTTAGTATTTTTTTTTTTTTGCGCTTTTTTTTAGTGATTATTCTAATGATACGTACTTACCTTTTTATAGTCTACATGGAACTAATGTTTTACCACTTCAAATGGAGTCTAGAAACTTTGCCACCATTCAGGTCCCTGGACCTCTCCCTGTAAATTGCAGGATTTATATGTATTATATCTGCATATATATTGAAAATCCTATCAGTCAGCGTTATGCTTTTTGCTTTCAACTATTATACATATTGTAACGAACCCAAAGGGAGGGTGGCATTTCTGTGCTTCCATCTGCTGCTGCCCCCATTGATCGGGGTTGCAGCTCCGAGAGCAGAGCTTGCCTGGAGACACGGTTGGTGAAGAATTAAAAAAAAGAAATCCGGAGGATTCTTCCCATTCTGTCCGAGCCCCGCTTCGTGCTGTTTGCACTCGAAAGGCATTCCCTTGGACCTCTTTCTGACGGCCGGTTCAGGATTTGTGCTGACTGGAGTCCTGGGAGGAAACGTTACCACCAGACCGTGTGCACTCCTAGGTCTGCTTTCCTTCCCCAGAACGCTCAGGGCGCCGCCTCCACATCCTATCCCGGCTTTTGGTCGTATTCAGCGAAAGAGACAGGGCAGAATGTGCTCACTCCATCTTAACCGGAACCGGACCTCCGCTGAAATTGCAGGTTTTTAACTGCTAGAGTTGATGATTTTCACAGTGGTCCTTTATTATCACTGCCCCCGCACTCCCGACACACAGCCTGTTAATGGAGCCAAGGGCGCCATCGAGATCCTCCAGGCCTCCTGGTCTGCTCTGGGCCTTTCCTCCTGGGGTGTCCTTGTCCTCCTCAGCAGACCTGAGATTCCAAGGGCAGCTACTCCTAGTTGCCCCCTCACTGCCTCAGCCAGGCCGGCAGGAGCGAGCCTGGGCTGAGGTGATTTGAAAGCCATCGAGTGCCTGTTTGCTTTCCACCAGTGTCACCCTGCATCTTGTTCTGAGGCATATGATGGCCATGTTAAAAGGACAGCCGGTCACTCCCTGCTGCAGTGTCAGAAGCATTCAGGAAGCTTGCCGGCCATCTGAACACATCTGCCGTCACCCCAATGGGGAGCTGCACTCCAGAGAGGGTGAGGGGCTGTCAGGGCCACGCAGCTAGGCAGTGACCACACTGGACCGGCTTCCACTGCTCACCCTCCGCATGGCTCCCGCCCATGCAGCTTCCCCCATCCACATGCTCCAGCCGCCTTCCACAGCCTCCTTCCCTTGCCCACTGCAGGGAGGCTTCCCTCTGCTCTGGAGTCCTTGATGGTCCTCAGATACTCTAAGCACATTGCCACCTCCAGACCTTTGTACCTACATCTCCTCTGCTTACAGTGTCCTTCCTAGGTGAGAACACTCTCACTTCATTCATTCAGGTGTCTGTTCACACGTCACTTCCTCAGAGAGCCTTTCCCGGCCAGTCCATCTAAAATAGCGTCACCTCCCTCATTCTTACCCCTTGCCCAACTCCAGCAGATTTCCCAACACGTATTCCTCCTATGTATTAGAATATATAGTTATTTCTTTGATGTTTTAAATTATCTGTCTTCCCTCCTTGAATGTAAACTCCATGAGTCTTTTTTATCCACTATGGAATCCATAATACCAAGAGGACCCAGCACTTGATAGAAAACAAATATTTGCTAAATGAATGTATGCCTTTGTATTGAATACGTGTCACCACCAAACTGCATAAGAAACAACCAAGCGGGCCAGGCGCGGTGGCTCAAGCCTGTAATCCCAGCACTTTGGGAGGCCGAGGCGGGTGGATCACGAGGTCAACAGATCAAGACCATCCTGGCCAACATGGTGAAACCCCGTCTCTACTAAAAATTACAAAAAATTAGCTGGGCATGGTGGCGCGTGCCTGTAATCCCAGCTACTCAGGAGGCTGAGGCAGGAGAATTGCCTGAACCCAGGAGGCGGAGGTTGCAGTGAGCCAAGATCGTGCCATTGCACTCCAGCCTGGGTAACAAGCGAAACTCCGTCTCAAAAAAAAAGAAAAGAAAAAAGAAACAACCACGCGATCTCGGCAGCAGTCAGCATTTATTTAGCTTAGACACCGGGGGTTGGCTGGGGATTGGCTGATATAGGCCAGGCTGGCTAGGTTGGTTCCTTGAGTGACTCTTCTTACTCTTTTTTGAGACGGAGTTTCGCTCTTGTTACCCAGGCTGGAGTGCAATGGCACGATCTCGGCTCACCGCAACCTCCGCCTCCTGGGTTCAGGCAATTCTCCTGCCTCAGCCTCCTGAGTAGCTGGGATTACAGGCACCCGTCACCATGCCCAGCTAATTTTTTGTATTTTTAGTAGAGACGGGTTTCACCATGTTGACCAGGATGGTCTCGATCTGTTGACCTTGTGATCCACCCGCCTCGGCCTCCCAAAGTGCTGGGATTACAGGCTTGAGCCACCACGCCCGGACTTTTCTTACTCTTGAGACCAGCAGCCAGATATGCTCTTCCTGTGCGGAGGGCCTAAGCAAACCAGCGAGTTTAACCGCACGAGTGCTTTTCGCGCCTCTGCCTTACCTGCACCTGATCTGTTCACATGCCTTTGGCCAAAGCAAGCCACGTGGCTGAGCCCAGAGTCATAGAAGGGCCAAGGGGACTGCACCCTACGCATCAGAGGGCACAGCAGCGTTACAGGGATATGGACGTAACCCTATCACTGAGGATGCCATGAAGCGCTGGAGTGGTAAACCCGACTCTCACAGAAGGAAAACTCTGCTTTCTGCTTTTATAATTTTCCTAGAACATGCTGAACCTCTGAGTGGCTGCATTTCCGCTCATGGGAGTTGGGTCCCAGGGCTGCTAGGTGTGTGGTGCCCCTCCTAAGCCAGTGCCCCTCATGAGCCTCCATGCCAAGCAGCTTCAGATTTCAAGACCCTGGTGCTGTTGGTGGTGGGGCGTGAGTTTGATGTTTTTATTTATTTATTTATTTTTATTTATTTTTTATCTCCAGGTAGAGTATTTCTTTATGTACTCCATACTCTTGACTCCACAGAGCTAGGTGGAGCAGGCAGTGTTTCTTTTTTATTTTTTTTCGTTTTGATGAGTTTGATGTCTTAATTGACCTCACCATTCCCTTCTTTTTAGGGACAGCTGGTGTAGCTGGAGACATGGTCGCCACCAAAATTGTGGAGCTATCAAAAAAGAACCGGGTGTTGATGGCAGAATCAGAGGGTGCAAAAACCAGAGTGAAGCAGCTGACCAATCGCATCCAGGAGCTGGAGCGGGAGGTGAGGGGCCTTGGCCATTCTCCCTCTGGAGGGGACTCCCAGCATGGGCAAGAGGGAACCTTCCCAGCTTCTCCATAGGTAGCTGGAAGGGCTGAGCTGGAAGGTTACGAGGCTTTCTCAGATCCACAGTGTGTGCTGGTGCCGCACTTTAAATCCAAAGCCGCGGCACTCCAGCAGGCTTCACGGTGCCTCTGGCCTCATCTGTTCATCTGGAACCTGAAATCCATCATTTTTTATGCCCCGCCTCCTAGGCTGTGGTTGGAACTCCAGGAGACAGATGATGAGTGAAGCGTTATCTATTAAGCTGTTCGTGAGCCCCTGGGCTGCTCTTACGGTGCAGCTAGGGAGTGGGCCAGACGGCCAGGTAAACCCTCTCCATTCCAGAGTGCTTTCTAAAGGAGAGCCCTTCCATGAGTGACCCGAAAGTGAGCTGAAAGGACGCACCACCAAAATAGGTCACCACACACACGGTGGCACCAGAGTGCGTTCTTTGGGCTGCACAATTGCTGAGCAGAGTATGAAGTGTGAGGTTTGCTTTTTCAGCTGCAGTCAGCCCTGACCAGGCCGCCAGCCAAGGGGGCCGCTGACGCGGGGGCCAAGCCGCCGAGGACGCAGACGGGAGACAGAGCATTGGTACGATTCTCTTCTGTGCTGGGGAGTCTGCAAGGCAGCCACCAGCCTGGGCCGCCTCCTCCACCGGTGTGTAGGTACCTCCACCCAGAGCCCACTCCCACCCCCTCCCACTGCCGAGCCAGCTGCCCATCCATGGGCTACCATTGCTGCATCCTCGAGCAGACGGCAGAGGGCAGTACCGAGTCTGTGGCCTGAGGCCAAGAATGTCCTGTCAGACGCCATGGAGGGTGACTCTCCAGCTCTGTCTCTAGAAAGGAAGGCTGGGAGGAGCCTGAGAATCCTGGAACCCTAGAGCCTCGGGATCAGGAGGGAAGGCCTGGTCCAGCTGACCTCCCGGCCATCTCCTGTCCGGCACCCTCACTGGGGACACATGCAGCCTCCACCTGACTGCAGGGACAGGGAGCTCACCGCTGCCCAGTGGCGTCCTGTTCTTTAGGAGGGTGGTGAATTATATCATCAGCACTCCCCCTTTGGCGGAGCTCCAAATCTACACAGCCAAAGTGGCTGTTGGAAATGGGGACTTGTCCCCCACAGCCCGTTTTATAAACCAGGGAACAGTTCGTGAACTGCAGGAGGCGGGAACTGCAGCTCCATGAGAGGAAGCAGTCTGACCTACTGCGTCGCTTTGTCCTCAGGCCAGGCAGTAAATGGTATCAGAGTGTAAGTCACATTCCAGGAGGCTTCCCGGGGGTCTTCCTGGGAGAGGCGGCTGAGCCCAGGACTCGAGGTTTGCTGCCTGTTTTCTAACCCGTCTGCCCTGCTGCCTGCACCTCAGGATCGGATTGCCACTGGCTTCCTTGAGGACAGTGCAGTCCTCCGTGTGCAGCAATGGGTCCCTCAGGCTCTGGGTGAATGCACCTCCTCAAGTCTAGTCTTATGTAAACCTGCCTCATTGCTGGGGAGGCAGCAGAGGGGCTCTGCCCTCCTCGGGGCTGGACTGAGTATTCTTCAGGCCCTTTCCTGGCTCCAGGGGACACTGCTAAGCTGCCCCTGGTCTATTCCGAGTATTGGGCACCCCCACGGCCCCAGCTAGAGCTGCCCTGGATAGGAAGCTGATGTTGAGCCTGATGGGACTTTCTAAGCCCTGCGACACAGGGAATCAAAACAGCCTCGGCTGGGCTTGGCCACTCATGCCCGGAATCCCAGCACTTTGAGGGGCTGAGGTGGGTAAGCCACTTGAGGTCACGTGTTCAAGACCAGCCTGGCCAACATGGTGAAACACCATCTCTACCAAAAGTATAAAAATTAGCTGGGCATGGTGGTGTGCGCCTGTAGTCCCAGCTACTCGGGAGGCTGAGGCAGGAGAATCACTTGAACCCAGGAGGCGGAGGCTGCAGTGAGCCAAGATCGCACCACTGCACTCCAGCCTGGGTTACAGAGTGAGGCTCTGTCTATGGAGAATCCCAGAGGAGGAATGAGGAGTCACTGGAAGCTGGGATGTGGAGAGGGCCTTCAGAGATGGCCCCAGTGCTCTGAGCTCACGGAGGACTCCACCCTCCATTAAGGCTGCAGCTGGAAGCTGGGACGGAGGAGGGTGACCCTGAGCTGGCCTTACTGGAGAAGGAAGCTGGGGAAGGTGAGCTGAGGGTCCGCTGGTGAACACTTGACTGCAGCCCAGAGCTCACAAGGGGAAAGGGGAATGTAAGCCAAAAAAGCTGGGGTGAAGTCACCCACAGAGGGAGCCCTTGAATGGCAGCTGGAGCAGGAGTTCTGACTACTCTGTGGCCACAGGGAGCCCGGGAGGTTCCAGGTTTGGAGAGAAAGTGTGTGATGGGCTGTGTCTGGATTCGTCAGCGTCATGCACTGTCCCTGTCCCTGTCATCTCCCAGTCAGAGCGAGAGCGAAAGCAATGTTCCCCTCAGAAGGCTGCTCCACTCCAGGGGCATGCAGGCTCAGTCCACGCTCCAGCCCGAGCCTCCAAAGCACATTCCAGTGGAGTCGAACACGCTTGCCTCTGCTTGGGGCTTCGGGAGGCCGTGATGTGAGCACGATGGCGTCGTCTGCTCCCCCTGGACTGCGTTTTAGTTATTCCCTCAAAGAAAACAGCCTGGGGTAGGGGAGGGAGTGTGCCCATATGCAGATCCCCCACAAAGCCTGTGGAATTTCACTCTTGGCAGAAAGCTCTCAAGTGGTTTGGAGGTAGGATTAGCTCAGCTGCCTGAGCCAGGAGGATGGGGCCTGACCTAGTCCCCTCCAGAGCACCACCTGGCCCTCAGCCCCCTTGCCCACTGCCCACTCAACTAGGCGAGGCCTGCCAGCATTGCCCTCCATCAGCTGCCCCAGACAGCACCCTTGATGTGCATTATCTTAGCAACCCTCACAGGTTCCCTGAGGTTGGATTACATGGCCCCATTTTACAGATGAGAAAAGGAGGATTGGGCAGGGCCCGCGTTCTACAGCCAGCACCGCCTGCCCTTTTTCCATGCTCTGATCAGATCCAAGAGACCCTGTGAGCTCATGGCAGCCACATGGATGTACATGTATTCCCAGGGCCCTTGGTACCCGAGGTCAGGCCACCCCTGAGGTCAGGGTCACCCCCAAGATCAGGGTCACTCCCAAGGTCAGGGTCACCCCCGAGGTCAGGGTCACCCCCGAGATCAGGGTCACCCCCAAGATCAGGGTCACTCCCAAGGTCAGGGTCACCCCCAAGGTCAGGGTCACTCCCAAGGTCAGGGTCACCCCCAAGGTCAGGGTCACCCCCAAGATCAGGGTCACTCCTGAGGTCAGGGTCACCCCCGAGATCAGGGTCACCCCCGAGGTCAGGCCACCCCCAAGGTCAGGGTCACCCCCGAGATCAGGGTCACTCCCAAGGTCAGGGTCACCCCCGAGATCAGGGTCACTCCCAAGGTCAGGGTCACCCCCAAGATCAGGGTCACTCCCAAGGTCAGGGTCACCCCCGAGATCAGGGTCACCCCCGAGGTCAGTGTCAACCCCAAGATCAGGGTCACTCCTGAAGTCAGGGTCACCCCCGAGATCAGGGTCACCCCCGAGGTCAGGCCACCCCCGAGGTCAGGGTCACCCCCAAGATCAGGGTCACTCCCAAGGTCAGGGTCACCCCCGAGATCAGAGTCACCCCCGAGGTCAGGCCACCCCCGAGGTCAGGGTCACCCCCAAGATCAGGGTCACTGCTGAGGTCAGGGTCACCCCCGAGATCAGGGTCACTCCCAAGGTCAGGGTCACCCCCAAGATCAGGGTCACTCCCAAGGTCAGGGTCACCCCCGAGGTCAGGGTCACCCCCGAGATCAGAGTCACCCCCGAGGTCAGGGTCACCCCCGAGGTCAGGGTCACCCCCAAGGTCAGGGTCACCCCCGAGGTCAGGGTCACCCCCGAGATCAGGGTCACCCCCGAGGTCAGGCCACCCCCGAGGTCAGGGTCACCCCCAAGATCAGGGTCACTCCTAAGGTCAGGGTCACTCCCAAGGTCAGGGTCACCTCTGAGGTCAGTGTCAACCCAAGATCAGGCCACCCTGGAGGTCAGGGCCACTGGGGCTCATGGCACAGGAGATCTGACAGGTAGGGCAGATGCGTGGTACGGGCTGGAGGGGGGTTGCTTCCCAACCCAGGGCAGATTCAAAGCCACACATTTAACAGGAGAAGAGGCAGGCACCCAACAGAGTGCGCAGGGATGGCAGGCAGCCAGACAGAAGGAAGAACACAGAACATAAATATGCTTATGTTTCATATAAGTTCCCAGTTGGCACATTCTGTTCACGTTGGCTGTTCTCTTTAGCCTGATGGTGGTGCTCGGAGGAAGCGAAGCAGGGAAGCGTTTTTTTACCCATTCCATAGATGAGGACACTGGGTGAGGCCGGGGTTTCTGGACCAGGTGTCCCTGTCTAGCTTCTTGGGCCACTGGTTTTCAGCTGGGCTGCCCAGAGCCTCGGGGGCCCATGGAACTTTCCAGACCCAGTATACTTGGATCTGTCTTCCACACTAGCATTCACAGGAGCTTTTGTTTGTGCCTGCTAGAGAAAGGCACTGCAGGACCAGCCCTGCTTCTTGAAGGTCAGCCCCTCTGCCCTGTGGGGCAGCAGCAGAGGGCGCCAGCATCATCACCTACTGGGATGCTCAGCCTAACAACCAGTGTCCCTGTGGGCACAGTGCCCAGCATTAGCAGCAGCTTAAATTGGAAGAGTCAGCCAGGGCAGGGGAAGGACCAGTGTTCTTTCTAATCCCACCTGTGTCACCTCAACCAGCTGAAGCCTGAAGGCAAATTGCCTCCCCTCTCTGGACCTTATTTTTATCATTATGAAAGGGGTTTGAATGGGCTGACCTTGAAGGTTCCTTGTCAAATGTCTGTGAGTCACAGGAGTGTCTACTGAAGACCGAGAAGTAGTCAGCACATTTAAGAAAAGTTTCTATCCAGATCGTTTAAATAAAACAGTGGGTTAAAAGAAAGACATTGCCGAGTTTCAGCAGGCAGTTTTCATGTGGCTTGCTGCAGTTCTTCAAGCCACAGAGATGAGCATTTGGAAATTAAAATGTGTCCTTATTTCTGTTCAGTGGTCACCGCTAGGAAAGAGAGCCCAAGGTCCAAGCTGACAGTTCTGGGAGAGGCGGGCCCTGAATTAGGGAGCCGTGACTCCTGCCATGCTGGGTTGCCTTCTGGGAATAACATGGTTTCCTCTGTATTCTGAGTGAAGGTGGATTAGCTGCGATGTGGATCTCTGAGCACGGCGGAGGGTCCACACCCGGGAAGTGTCTGGGAGGTGTGGCGCCCCAGCTGTTTCCAGATGCTCCACCTCTAGGGCGAGGCCTGCATCCAGCGTGTGTAACACTGCAGAAAGCCCAGCCCCAAAGCTAAGCTGCCAGGATCCAAATCCAGGTTCCACCTTGATTAACCAGTCAGCCCAAGTAGAGGACTGGCCTTCCACCAGCCTCCGTTCTGCACCTATGAGGGGCTTATGAGAGATCCTACCTGACAAGGCTTGGTGAGGGTTAAATGAGTTGCTCCATGTCAAACACTTAGCGCAGTGCCTGGCACAGACTTGGGTAAATGGCTATGATGGCTGTTCCCATGTCGGCAATAGTGACTACTTTCTCTCCTGTCCTTCCCCACAGCAGGAGACCCCGGAGGTGAAGGCCCTGCAGGACAGGCTGGCGGCCACCAACTTGAAGATGAGTGACCTCCGTAACCAGATCCAGTCTGTGAAGCAGGAGCTTCGGGTGGCACAGAAGGTCCTTCAGAGCCAGGGCTGGGGCTGGACTTGGGAAGAACATGGCTGGCACCGTGGGTTCCATTCTGGAGCCTGAGTGCTCAGCCCCGTGAGCGCAGTGCTTGCTCTGGGTCAGGCTCCAGGTCCAGTCCTTCCTCCCATCAGCCCTCGGTCCCCACCCCCAGCACACATGCCCTTGTGAGGCCTGCCCAGCTCTGCACGGAGAAGGACAGCGCTGTCCACCCAGGGAGATTCCATTAAGCCTTCCCGGAGTCCTTGTGCCCCAGTAGATCCTGGGTCTCCCCTGAATGTCACCCCTAACTTGGAAGCCTGCCAACCCTGCCTTCTGCTCTGCCATCTGTAACAGAACGTGACTAGGTTACTGTGCATTAAAGGACCCTTTCAAAGGGAAACGCTCAGACTTGGGACACAGGCCCAGCTGGTTCGTTCTTTATTTTTATTTACATAGCGAATTCTCTGGCATTTGTCTTCCCTGCTGGAACCACTCAGACTGGCCAAGATTTCCAAAACAGTGTTCTCTTGTGGAAGCGAGCGCCAGAGGCTTGGTGTGCTGGGCAGGGTTTCTGTGACAGCCTCAGAGGGGCCCAGGTCACAAGCTGAGTGTATTGTTTCTGCCTCGAGCCTTGAGGTCGGGAGAGTGCTGCCCGTCAGCAGCTGCAAAGCTGGGCCCTTCCTGGACCACAGCGTCCCAGCTGACATTCAGTAGCCCACCTTTTGCTGCACTCAGAGGTCCACTTGTCTGTGGCTTTTCAGAGGGCAGGGCTCCGTGGCGAGGCACTTCACATAGCCAGAATTAGCTCAGCTCGAGGTGACAAGTGAATGGGTTAAGGAAGCAGGTGTTGGTCAGCTTCGTGGTTCAGTCATCCCAGAATATGTCAGGAGCAAGGGGCCCTGTCCGGGCGTGGTCGGTGGTTTCTTGGTTGCTCTAAGCACTGCCACGAAGTGCCAGGGATGATGGGTTTACTACTTTCCCAGGGAGAGCTGCCCTTGGGACACAGAGGACTGACCTTGGAGGGCTGCGCTCTGGGGTGGAAGAAGATTGTGTAGGTGAAGGCTGCTTCCAAACGTGCTTCTAAACAGGGTCTGGTGGAGCCCTCTCTTTTCCACACTGAAGGCCCTGCCTTATTTCAGGTTTTGGCCAGTGAGGTCGGGGAAGGCATCGATGTCCAGCAGCTCCTGTCCTTGCCTGGGACCTGGAGGGGTCGGGCTCAACAAATTCTCGTTTTGCAAAGCAAGGTGGGTGAGTCACCAGACTTCTAAGGATTTAAAACATCCCAGAAAGACCTGCCCTGAACCCCTTAGAGACTTGAGCGCACGGTACCCAAAAAAGGCCTTCAGGTGTCACAGCGCAGTGGTGCAGGGCTGCTGCGTCACCCTCTCGCCAACCAGCCTGGTTTTAGTCTGCTATTTAGTGAACAAGCGCTTACGTAACGCCACACGCCAGGCACTGGAGCTTCACAAACGCCCCCGCCTTTGGTTGATTCATTTTACTCCAGGCATCTTCTTTTCCTAGTTCATGGAAATTTGTGTGACTGTTGGAAGCTTTTTCCAGCTTTGTCCAGATGCTTGTGGTCTTTTGAAAGTTTTAATTACCCGATAAAACTTAGCCTCGTCTCCCTCTTTATTATCTGAGTATTTTGGAGCAAACCAAAAGAGGCTGACGGCAGGGCTCTGGCGCCCCGAGGCTCAGATTCAAATCCCAGCTCTCCACTCACCAGCTGTGCGACCTCAAGCGAGTTTCTTTAGCCCCGTGCCTCAGTTTCCTCATCTGCATAATGGGGATAATAGCGATACCTACCCCACAGGGTTGTTGGGAGAGTTGAGTCGGTACTTGTAAGGTGCGTAGCCAGGCCTGGCATGGAGGGAGCACCGCGTGAAGGTTACGTGTGGTTCTTTCACCTTTTCCCTTCACCTGAGAGGCCCGTGAGCAGCTGTGTGATTTCCACTCTTTGCCAAGCATATCGCCCTTGTTCCCGGGGACTTCACAGGTCACAGTGGCTTTGGTCCTCGTGTCTGCCATGGGGTCCTTGAAGCCAACATAGAGGGGGAACAACTCCAGGAAGCTGATGATGATCCGTGCATGGCCTTGGGGTTCTAGACACCTGAGTTGAAGTTTGCCCACAGGTCTGCCAGCTCGGTGGCCTTGGGCACATCCCTTCATCCTCCTGTGTCGTCATCTTCACACCTGTGAAATGGGGTGACATCAGATAAATTTGTAAAGCACCTAGCACAGTGTCGGACCATAATAAGACGAAACAACTCACTGTTGTCATTAAGTTGTGTGTGGAATTCTTAAAGGCAACAGTGTTCTTTAATGATAAGTGGAATTGCCGCACAGCGCCACACGAGGGCACTGACGGGGGCTGCCAAAGCTCTGCTCCCGCCCTTGGCCAGGGAGCCTCGCGAATCGTGCTTCCTTTCCTGGCTCAAGTTTACCAGCGCTGTTGTTTCGTCATTGGGTTGCGTTGACACAGAAACCAGGGTTGGAAGGACCCTAGGAGTTGTCTGCTTCTGCCCCAGGGTTACCAGGGTGATAAGGGCACCGTTCTGTGGGATGACATCTATCTGCCACTTGCTGAGAGCTCACGCGGGCCAGGCTGCGTTGCTGGCTTCACCTAGACCGTCTTGGGATTTTACAAAGTTACCTAATCCTAGAAATCACCTTAGCATTTAAAATGCAGATGCCAAGGCCCTTCCCCTAAACTCTAGTTTGTTGATCTGGAGTGAGCACCAAGATAGGTCATTCCAAGAAACTCAGAGGATTCCCAGGCTCAGACAGCCTCACGTGACAGTGTTACGCAGGGCGTGCTCCTAGGTGAGGGAGCTGAGATTCGGAGAGGCCACCCGAATGCAGCCACACGGTCCGTGAGGCTTTGAGCCGGTCTCTCTGCTTCCAAACCCTGAGTAACCTCTGCAGCACCTCCTGAGGGGCCTACCCAGTCTTAGGTGGTCTGTCGGTAGAAAGTTCCTCCTTGCCTGGCACTTTGGGAGACTGAGGTGGCCAGATCACTTGAGCCCAGGAGTTCAAGACCAGCCTGGGCAACATGGTGAAACCCATCTCTACAATATATATATGTGTATGTGTAATATATATACACATACACATATATACACACACACATATATATAAAATAATTTAATTTTTGTATATATAACTATAATTTATTTGTGTATATATATATTTTTATATATATGCAGAAATATATATACATACGAAAATTATCCAGGCACGGTGGCATGTGCCTGTGGTCCCAGCTGCTCAGGAGGCTGAGGTGGGAGATTGCTTGAGCCCAGGAGGCAGAGATTACACTGAGCCATGATTATACCACCGCACCCCAGCCTGGGCGACAGAGCAAGACTCTGTCTCTAAATAAATAAAATAAGAAAGTTTTTTCTTGCTGAGACCTGCCACTCTATCCCTCCCAGGTTCCTGGGGCCACAGCTGTGCTTCCCAGCCTCAGACAGCCCCTCAGAGGTAGGGTGATGTTGTCTTTTTTCTAAGCTGAACTTGCCTGGTGCCTTCCACCGTGTTGCTCAGGACACTAGCTCAGATCGCGCCCAGCCCTCGCCCTCCTCAGATGGGGCGACCACAGCCATCCCGAGAGGCGGCTCCATCTTCAGTCTGGGGTCTCTGATCATACTTGTGAGTAGCAGGGGGCTGGCTGCAGACCCATTGTGAACGACGGGTTTTACCACCCTCAGGTTCGAGAGCTTGAGAAGCAGCTGGGCCAGGCCCGGAGCCAGTCTGCAGGAACAGCCAATGATGAGTTGTCTGTGTATCCAGACCCAAGGAAGCTGTCGGCACAGGAGAAACACCTGCTGAGGATCCACAGCTTGGAAAGGGAGAAGCAGGAAGCCTTGGAGGTAACGCCTGACCAGTGAGGTCAGCCGGGCTGTGGGAGCAAGAGATCCCGATGGTGCCTGCAGGGCTCAGAGGCCCGTGTGGTCGGAAGTCTGAGCCACCCCTTCTAGGCAGGAGTCACCTGGGGACCTGGGTCACCTCCGCACGTTCCTCACGTCCTGTCAAACCAGCCTGAGGTGCCTGACTGGGGCCTCACAGTGAGCGCATTTAATCCACTTTGCTTGGCCCCACCCTGGCTGTTCTGGAGATGCTGTACCTGAAATTCTCCCATTGTAAAAGGCAGAGGGAGCGGGTCACAGCCCCCTAAGTGTGAGAGGGTTAGACGAGGCTTAAAGGAGGAAAGTCCCAGGCTGAGGAAAGAGGTGGGCAGGCTGGACTTGGCGTCAGGGGCCACATCTCACGGGCTGCACTGGGCATGTCAGAACTCTAACTCTACCAGGTTTATGCAACAGAGAAGTTACTGGTCCATATAAACGAACAGTCCGGAAGGGGCCTGGCTTCAGGTGCAGACCAGGGCCTTGCTGGCAGCATCACTTCTCCTGGGCTGGCTTCTCTCCTTCCACAGGGCCCCTGGCTAGTCCCAGCTTCTCTCCTCCACAGACAAAGGCCTTCTCTTCCCAAATAGTTCCAATGATTCCTAGAACTGAGTGTCTTTGGTCTAGCTTGGGTCACGTGGCCACCCCTGGTCCGTCACTGTGGCCAGGAGTACAGGGTGTTTTGATTGGCCAAGGTTTGGGGGATGGGTTAGCCTCCCCAGACTTGCTGTGAGAGTGGGGAGTGGGTGCCGCCTTAAAGAAGGCAGCAGAAGCAGCATGAAGAGGTGCAGGCAGGCCACACAACAGGCCCACTTCCGTGGCCCTGGCAGCAAGGCACCTGGCGGTGAGGGGACTTTAGCCTGTGAGCACCGACTCCGGGCTAGGCCCTGTGTTAGGAAGGCTGTGACCTTGGCCACGCTGCACCTCCCGCACTCTCGACCATCAGCTGTGAGGAGGGAACAGTGGCGTCACAGAGGGCCAGGGCCTGCTGGCCTTTTATGCCGGCCAGGACTTTTGGCCTGTATCTTGAAGGCTATGGAGAACCACCAAAGGGTTTTCGTTTTTGCTTTTTTAGGCAAAGTCTCGCTCTGTCGCCCAGGCTGGAGTGCAGTGGAGTGATCTCGGCTCACTGCAACCTCTGCCTCTGGGGTTCAAGCGATTCTCCTGCCTCATCCTCCCAAGTACCTGGGATTACAGGCGCCTGCCACCATGCCCAGCTAATTTTTGTATTTCTAGTAGAGACGAGTTTTCAGCATGTTGGTCAGGCTGGTTTCAAATTCCTAACCTCAGGTGATCCACCTGCCTCAGCCTCCCAAAGTGCTGGGATTACAGGCGCCAGCCATCACGCCCAGCCCACCAAAGGGTTTTAAGTTATGGAGGGAGGTGGTCAGCTGTCCGTTTTGAAAGGTCACATGGTTGGAGCAAGAGGAGGAATGGGTGGGAAGTGGAATGGGAGGCAGAGTGGCGATCCTGGGGACATGACCGAGGACCTTTGCCGAGACGGTGGACTGTTGTGGAAGGGCCAGGCACCTGGGGCTGTGCACACAGACTTCCCGGGGCTCAAGGACTGTCGTGGAAGGGCCAGGCACCTGGGGCTGTGCACACAGACTTCCCGGGGCTCAAGAACTGATTGGACTTGGCAGAGAGAGGAGGAGGAAGAGGCCTGAAGGACTTCTAGGGAGTGCAGCAGGTGGGTAAGGGAGACAGGGGAGAAAGGGAGCTGAGATTTGGAGGCGTTGGGTTTCAGATGCACCTACACTTGGACTTACACGCTCGCACAGGACAGATGATGCTGGACAGTCGGGCTGACCATAGGCTGCAGTGGCGGGTGGAAGGAAGCGGCTTCCTGCTTGCGTTCCCTCTGCCAGGCACCCGTGAGAGCCTGGAGTATGTAGGCAGGAGGGCAGCCGGTGAGGAATGCCTCCTGCAGAGGGCTCGTGTCCTGTGGATTCATGTTTGTTTCGCATTTCTGTAATTCACTTCATCAAGGACATGAAAACACTTTTCCAGCAACAAGTCACCCTCAGGACCAAGCAGCTGATGTCACCCACTGCCCAAGCCCCTCCTCGCGTCTCCAGCTTGTCTCTGCGGGTTTGCCTGATGGAGCCTCTGCCCCTTCACTCGCTGTGCCCCTGACACACACGTTCCACCCAGGGCCTTTGCGCTCCCCTGTCTCCTTCCATCTCTGCTCAGATGCCACCTTTTCAGAGGCCCTTCCCTGACCACACCCCTCTTGAGATTCCTGTTTCCTACTTTCAAATGCGCATTTGTCACTATTTGATGTCATCTCTCTCCTCCGTTAGGATGTCAGCTCCTTGAGGACAAGGACTATTTTGCTTTTTGCTGTCCCCTGGCACCTATAAAGCAATATTCAGCCCATAGTGAGCCCTCAGGAAACCCTTGAGAAGGAAGGGGTGAGTGAGTGAGAGACTCCACAGACACGCGTGGCACTGTTTCCAGCTGGTGGCTGACAAAGCGAGGTGCAGCCAGGGATTGTGCCAACTAGTCACGGAGGACGAGGGGAACAGACCCTCCCTTCTCATTCCAGCTCCTGGAGGGGCGAGGTGCTGCAGCGGGAACCTAGCCTAGCACTTTTTCTGAAGTGCAGCTTTTCTCCTTTCCCCAGCATGGGGAGGTTCACAAGCGGCACTGGCCGCCCTCTCTGGAGGACACACACAGTTGGCCGGCTTCCCTCTCAAGTGCAGGAAGCCTGTGTCTCAGGCGGATGTGGGGAGTGCTGTCATTCGTTAGTGCTGTCATGTGCTAGGGTGAGGGTGGGGGGCTGCTGGCCACCTGACGTCCCTGAGAGGCCTGGGCTGGGACTCAGGGCCCTGGCTCTAGTGACTGGCCCTGTGGCCTTCAGCAAGCACCCCCAGCCCAGCCCCTGGCCTTGCCACGGAGTGGGAGCCACGGAGCAGACGTGGCCAAGTTCCCACACAGCCTCCCGTGCCCTCACTTTCTAATTATAGAAACTTGCCAGTGAGCGGGATGCCCTCCAGAGAGAGCTTGAGGAGCTGAAAAAGAAGTGTGAGGGCATGAGGTCTCGGAACAAGGTGCTGGCGAGTGAGGTGAAGACCCTCAGGAGTCAGATGGGGACCTTGGTGGAGAAGGGCCGGCATGACGACGAGCTCATCGACGCCCTGATGGTATGGCCCCGCCACTCAGGCAGGGTGGGAGCCAGTGCTGGTCCCCAAAGGATGGGCCCCAGCCCTGGCCAGAGGGAGCCCTCACTCACCCCTTGATGCCACCTGTGTAACCCTGAAGCCCACTGCCTCTAGATGGCTCCCAGCGCAAAGCCCCGCCCCAGGGACAGGCACCACTCAGAGAGACTGCCTGCGGGCACGTGGGGGGCTGTGATGGAGCAGCACCAGGCACAGACACTAGGCCTGTGGACCTCAAAAGAGACAGAAACGTACTAGGGGAGGAGGTGGGATTATGCCCTAGGTTATTCTTCAGCAGGAATGACAAGGGTGAGAGGGAGCTGGTACCAGTTCTTGTCTCTGTCATGGCACAGAGCCCTTCCCCTTCTGGGCTTTCTAATGCTTAGTCCCCAAGGTAACTTCTAGGGTCACATATTTTAATCCCACTTCACAGAGGGGGAAACTAAGACTCAGACTCATTACATAACTCATCTGAGACCATACAACTGAGTTCAAGCCAGGTGTGCTGACTGTAAAACCTTCCTTGATTGGTGAGGCCACACTGCTTTCCCAAGCCTACTTTTTCTCTGTGGGACCCGAGGCACCAGAGTTTGGTGTCAGGTTCCAGGTTGTCCCTGCAGGAGGTGATCATGTCCAGCGTGGCTGGGCTGTTTGGAGGTGCTGGGTCGGGTCATGATCACTTGACATGGCAGGGTGGCGGGCCGGGCACAGAAGACCTGAAATCTAGGCTGCCTGTGCCGATACCTCACCGTGTGACCGTAGGCCAGTAGCCTCCCCTCCTTGAGGCTCAGCAGCCAGCTTTAAAAATAAGTTTCAGGGCTGGATGTCCTCTGAGGTCCCTGCATGTCACCATTCTTTGTCATTGAAGGTGGCACGATGAGAGCTACAAACTAGCCCAGTCATGCTGTTCACCAGCAGGGTGCCCTTGGGCTCTCTGGGCCTCAGTTTCCTCCACTCTGAGGGGAGGACAGCAGCCCTCCTGTTCCACACCACTGACCTTGTCCTTTCTGCTGGCCCAGGCAGGAAGGCTTTGCCTGGAGTCTCCTGAGGGCATTTCCTTGGGATGGGGCTTCAGTCTGGTGCTAATAGATCCCTGGCAGAGTAGTCTCCCAGCCAAGCAGGATCAGGCTTTCCTGTGAGCTAAATACCTCCCCCTACCCCATTGATAGGTGAGGAGCCACCATCTGATCTGTTCCCCCCCATCCCCATCCCATCAGGTGAGGAGCCATCTGATCGGCTCCCCCCCACCCCACCCCATCAGGTGAGGAGCCATCTGATCTGCTCCCTCCCACCCCCCCTCAGGTGAGGAGCCATCTGATCTGCTCCCCCCCACCCCCCTCAGGTGAGGAGCCACCAACTGATCTGTTCCCCCCACCCCCACCCCCCCAGGTGAGGACCCACCATCTGATCTGCTCCCCCCCACCCCCACCCCCACCCCATCAGGTGAGGAGCCATCTGATCTGCTCCCTCCCACCCCCCCCTCAGGTGAGGAACCATCTGATCTGCTCCCCCCCACCCCCCTCAGGTGAGGAGCCTCCATCTGATCTGCTCCCCCCCACCCCACCCCATCAGGTGAGGAGCCATCTGATCTGCTCCCTCCCACCCCCCCTCAGGTGAGGAGCCATCTGATCTGCTCCCCCCAACCCCTACCCCATCAGGTGAGGAACCATCTGATCTGCTCCCCCCACACCCCCCAGGTGGGGAGCCACCATCTGATCTGCTCCCCCCCACCCCCACCCCATCAGGTGAGGAACCATCTGATCTGCTCCCCCCACACCCCCCAGGTGGGGAGCCACCATCTGATCTGCTCCCCCCCACCCCCACCCCATCAGGTGAGGAACCATCTGATCTGCTCCCCCCACACCCCCCAGGTGGGGAGCCACCATCTGATCTGCTCCCCCCCACCCCCAACCCATCAGGTGAGGAACCATCTGATCTGCTCCCTCCACACCCCCCCAGGTGGGGAGCCACCATCTGATCTTCTCCCCCCCACCCCCACCCCCCCAGGTGAGGACCCACCATCTGATCTGCTCCCCCCCACCCCCCTCAGATGAGGAACCATCTGATCTGCTCCCCCTCACCCCCCGTCAGGTGAGGACCCACCATCTGATCTCCCCCCCCACCCCCCCAGGTGAGGACCCACCATCTGATCTGCTCCCCCCCACCCCCCCAGGTGAGGACCCACCATCTGATCTCCCCCCCACCCCCCAAGATGAAGACCTACCATCTGATCTGCTCCCCCCACCCCCCCAGGTGAGGACCACCATCTGATCTGCTCCCCCCACCTCCCCCAGATGAGGACCTACCATCTGATCTCCCCCCCACCCCCCCAGGTGAGGGCCCACCATCTGATCTGCTCCCCCCCACCCCCCCAGGTGAGGGCCCACCATCTGATCTGCTCCCCCCACCCCCCCAGGTGAGGACCCACCATCTGACCTGCTCCCCCCCACCCCCCCAGGTGAGGACCCACCATCTGATCTGCTCCCCCCCACCCCCCCTCAGGTGAGGACCCACCATCTGATCTGCTCCCCCCACCCCCCCAGGTGAGGACCCACCATCTGATCTGCTCCCCCCACCCCCCCAGGTGAGGGCCCACCATCTGATCTGCTCCCCCCACCCCCCCCAGGTGAGGACCCACCATCTGATCTGCTCCCCCCACCACCCCCAGGTGAGGACCCACCATCTGATCTGCTTTTTGTTGTCCCAGGAGCCCTTGGATCTCCTCCTTGGCTCCAAACTCGGAGAAGGCGGTTGAGGAGAGGACAAGTACACGGTCCTCACCCGCCTGGCTTGACACCTGCTCATGGCAGGCAGGGAAGGTGTTTTTGCCTTTCAAGGGAACAGGGTCCCACTGTTAGATTCCTGCAGGCTGCTTTGGGGTGAGGGAGGCAGTCTGTCCTTGTCCTCCCCTGCCCAAGGGACATGACTGACTCCACCTGCCCTCCTGCCTGGCCCTCCCAGGACCAGCTGAAGCAGCTACAGGAAACCCTGGGCAGCCTGAGTCTGAAGGAGGAGAAGACGCGACTGTCCCAGCACCACGTGGACCAGCAGTTGAACAGTGAGGCTCAGCGGAGCAGTAGCCTCGTCGCCCAGCTGCAAGCCATGGTGGCCGAGCGGGAGGCCAGAGTGCAGCAGCTGGAGACGGAGATCGGGCAACTCAGTGTGCACGTGAGTAGGGCACGGGCACAGCCCCCAACCACATCCTCCCCCCACTTTCTGCTTGCCTTAGCTCAGGCTGGACTGTCGTCCCTGGCTCCACTGTGGACACCCGCTTCTGTTTGGCTCCCCAACCCACTCTGCACACAGACCTGATCTCGTGGCTTACGGTCACCCACAACCTCACCTGGTCCTCACAGACCCAGGCACCTTCCAGTTTACCCTTCCCCATCCCCAGCGGTGGCCTCGTCCTCAGGGTTCAAGTTGATGGCAGCAGCCCCAGCAGCTGGATGCGTGAAGGAAGGCACCCTTGTTCAACTTCCGGGTACCACGTGACTAGCTCTTGCGGCCATCCCTCTCCACACTCCGGCTGCCCAGGCACCATTCAGCTCTTCACGCAGCCCCGGGCTGCACACAGCGTGAAGCACACTCCCTCCCTCTAGACAGCTGCCCCTCAGCCTTCAGGTCTTACCCAGCCAGGAGCTCGTCCAGGAAGCTCCAGGGCCCCTGTTCTGTGTTATGTGCCCTCCCAGGCACGCTCCTGACTACACATCCCCCAGCCAAACTTCTGTCACACCCTATGGTCATTTTCCTGTCTTCTCCCCTGCACTGCGTGTGAGAGAGCACACAGGCCATGGTGCTCGGCACCTGGCACTGGACCAAGCCTGGAGTAGATGCCCAGTAAATGCTCTTGGAAGGCAGGAGCTTGTAAAGGTACTTTGGCAGGTACCTCCAAGGCACAGCTTGGGGCTGCTACGAGTGAGGCACCTTCACCTCCCTGTAGCTCCTTCCAGGGGTGGTGCTGGGGCTAGGTTGTGCCCTTAGGGAGGAGTTCCTGCTGGACATGCAGGTCTCCCAGTGACAAAGGAGCCTTGCAGCCTGTGGCCCATTGGGACATTGACGGCTCAGCTACAGGCATGTTGCAAAGCAGCCCTGCCCTTTGCTTGTGGGGGATCTTGGCTTGTTCAGAGGCAAGAGCCCAAGAGCCCCTCGGCCCAGCGTCAGGCTGGCATTGGCTGATAGTGGTTTGCCCTGTAGCCTCTGTCCCCACAGGCCAGGGCAGCCTGGGCTCCCAGGACTGGCTGTGACAGTGTTGCCAGGCTGAAGGGGAACCTGGGGGCATGGGGAGGTCTGGGAATGGAGCACACGGGGCAGTGAGTGGGGATGCGGCCTCGCAGTCCTTGCCCTGCCCCCCATCTGGCTCACTGGGGTAGGAAGTCTGAGGGGTGCACAGGGACATTCCAGCATCCTCACCTCACTGCTTTCTCCAGGCACGCGGAAGACTGTTTCTACCTCCGAGGTCATCACCTGAGTGGGGCCAAGATTGCCCACCAGACAAGTCGGCACACGTTTTGAGTTTTCTCAGAATGGGTGGGACTGGGGAACAAGCCAGGTTGTTAGGGGCGCACACCAGCTGTCCACTCTGCCGGCCTGACCTCCCACTGAGGGTCCTCTCATGTTCCTGTCAGCCCAGCCCCCGCAGGTCTCCAGCAGAGGAAGGGGTTGAGGGAGGGGTGGGGCCTGGCAGGCTCAGCGTCCACCCAAGGCTGCCCGCCCTCACTGAGGTCCCGCCAGCCTCTCTGGCCGCGGGTGTCTGGAAGGTCCAGGTGTCCAGCTGAGTAAGGCAGCTGGCCTCAAGTCACACCGGAGTTCGTCCACACGTGGGTGGAACCGCGTGGGGAAGTGGGCCCACTCAGAGAGTCAGTCTCTAGCTGCCCGGCGTGCGAGGCCACACACCTCCCTCTGGAACCGGAGCACAGAGCAGCTTCCTGGCCCAGTCACCGTCCTCACACCATGCAGCCTTCTTTCTGAAGAGAGGCATTATTAGGCATCATTATCATGCAAGCAGTGTCCTCACCAAACAGGCCTCGCCTTTCACTCCTGAAAAGAAGCCTCTTTCATGTCCTCTGAAAGCCCCGAAATGAAGCCAAGGTCCCCTCCTGCCTTCTCTAGGCCTCTGAGCCAAAGCCCTGAGGATGGAACCCACATCTGTTCCTACAGTATCTTCGGAATAATGGAGCGGGTGAGGGGACCGGTGGAACCCAGTTCCCAGAGGACCCAGACCTGGCCAAGCCCCCGACCTCGGCAGGCGGCCACACTGGCAGGCTGGGATCTTCTCGGTAAGAAAACCGTGCGATGGAGGGTTGGAAAGGGAATATTAATTATTCAGAAGAAAGCTTGTTTCTTGCCACCTCGATGGGAAGCCACGGGTGCAATTTTAAGATGACTTTGCTGCTGTTCTGCCAATGCATGAGCCTGTCCTGATGTCGGCTCTGCGTCTGCAGGAGGGAACCCATGAGGTCAGAGCTTTTGACTTCAAGAGCAGGCTGGATGCAGCTCCCTGTAAGCCTCTCTGAGCGGGCCTCAGCATTTTTCTGCCCCTGGGACCCTCAAACAGACCTCTGACGGGCTGTGAAGGCTCTGGTGTCTCCTGTTCTGTCTCACTTGGAGCAAGTAGGAGTTCTGAAAAGAAGGCAGCAAATGCACAGGACCCCTGCCGGCCACGTCTCCACCTCACGGGCGGAGGTGAGGCCCAGCAGGGCCCTGTCTGCCTCCCAGGCTGACGGCCTCTTCTGCCTTCTTCGCACAGCTCTGTGACCAGCCTGGGCCACACACTGGTGGAATCTGCTCTCACGAGGCCTTCCCTGCCCAGTCCCCACAGGACCTCGCCTAGGTATGGACCCCCGACCCCAGACCCTCACAGCATTTCCCACTCTGGATTGCTCAACCAGTATTCCCATCCCATTGAAAGGAGGGGAAACTGAGGCCAGGCAAAGCCCAGGGACTCTTCCAAGGTCACATGAGGACACAGAGGATCAGGGAAGTCTAGTGTTTTGTCCACGGTGATGGAGTCAGCAGCTTCAGAGCTCGGATCTTGGCCTCTGACTCCCAGGCGAGCGTTCCTACCTGCTACGTGAGAATTAACGTGAGGAACTTCCTGGGCCTGGCTTCTAGCACCTTCCCTCACCTTCTCTTGCTCGTTGAGAATGAGCCTGTAAGGGAGAATTTCACATGATATGGGTTCCCGCTGATATCCCCTGAGCTCTCGGGCCCCTCTTTGTTGATAGAATCAAGCCAGAGGGTGTAAATGAGCCCTTTGTTCCTCCTGCCCGCTGTAGACAAAGGGCCGCATTGTGCTGCCTCTAAGCCCTGCCCACTGTCCACTGGAGCCCTGCTCCTGCTGTCAGCACTCCCGCCCTGACCCTCAGGCAGGTCAGCTCAGGTTCCAGGCAAGGCCTCTGAGTGGCCCCAGCCCCTCATCTCTGTGGCTCCAGGAAACTGGTCCTTGTCTGGGCTGCTGTCCCCCAAAAGTGGGGGGAAGCATGCTGCTGACACTTGGCAGCACAGGGTCTGTGGGCCAAAGCTGCCTACCCGTCGGGCCGGGGTCACAAGGGCACTTGGGGAGAGTGGGCTGCCCCCGAGCCGCAAGGCGTGTGCCACACTCCTGCAGGTGGGAGGCCTCGCCACAGCACAGGGAGAATGGCAGGCTCTGTCTCAGGTTTTAGTCACCGTTCTGGGATCAGGAAGATGGATGAGATGACCCGTTAGAGCCCCTCCGGGCCTGCGTGGCTGGGACCTCTGCACGGTACGGGGATAAAGGAGCTGCTCTGCACCACAGCCGTCCAGACAGCCGGTTCTCCGGCATGTTTCCTCCACAGCGCACAAACACTGACCCTAACCACGCACATGTGGGCCCTGCTCTCATGGAGCTCACAGTCCCCTCCCGCAGGTGACGGGCAGGAGTTCACAGGGCAGCCTGACCCCCTTCCGGCGCCTCTGGTCGGGGGAGGGCAGGGTGAAGAATCGGCTGCGTGCTCCTGCTCCTCCTCTGCTCACATTGAGAATCGGGAGAGCAGTGGGGCTTTCCAAACTGCAGCTCACACAGAGCCCCTGCGATCGGCAGGTCTAGTGTGGTTCTGATGCAGGTCTGGGGTAGAGCCTGGGACTGCATTTCTAACCAGCTGCTAGGCGATGCCAGAGCCACCGATTCAGAGACCACTTGGAGTGGCAAGACCTTAGAGCATATTTAGGAGTCACAGAGGGGTCTGCAGTTCTTGGAGGCCATCTCAACCACCACTCTCCGTGTTTGTGGGAGAACTAGGGCCAAGAGAGGGGAAGAGACCTGCCCAGGACCACAGAGGAAGTCAGCCCTCAGGGTCATATGCGGTAGTCAGGACACTGCCTGGGTGCTCAGGACACTGCCCAGCTCTGCAGCTTCCCTAACCCGCATTGCTGGAAAAGTAAGCTCAGCGTCTCACTAGGAAAAGTGGGGGCACAGCAGAGAGCAGCTTGGAACTCACCTGTGGGCTCTTGGGGGGCCAGTGTTACTCTGTCCCCAGCTCCAGCCGGCAGGTAAGGGCTGGTAGGCAGGTCCAGTGGTAAGAGGGAAGCAGTTGCGGGTTGGCTGAGGGCTGGAGAAAATTGAACAAGTCGCAGAGCCAGATGCCCAGGCTGCAGGAAGGTGGGCTGGGCTTGGGGACCAAGCCAGAAGATGCAGGAGGGCTGGGGGAGACTGGCAGGGACACAGAGATGGGGCACTGCAGGTCCCCAGAGCCAGCTGCCATAGCCTTTGACTAATTCCAGGCCTCCACAGGGCTGGAGTGGACAGAGGTACCAGTGTAACTCTGGTACTGGTAGGATTCAGCTTCGGAGCCAGCATAGGAGGCCTAGGGCCTTCAGCAGGACCAGGAGTGGTGGACAAAGCAGTCAGGAGGGAGGACCTAGAGGGCCTGGGCTGCTTCCTTCACTCTGGCTGTCTCTGAGAACCCCTGAGTGTCCTGCTACTTTCTCCCACCATCACAGGGGTAAGTGTTATTTGCAGGCTTCGGATGACCTCTGCCCTCTGCTCTCCACCCTGGTCCCAGGTTCTCGGACTCCCCAGAACAAAATGGCTGGCTGGCACGCGTGGCAGAGATGAAGGCCCTCTGGCAGGCTGCTGAGGTGGAGCGTGACCGGCTCGCTGAGTTTGTCACCGTCCTACAGAAACGGTAACGTGTGGCACGCGGGGGTCTCCCTAGGGCCTGCATGGGGTGGGGACTGGAGCCAGGCTTCATTCGTGACCAGGTTCCCTCACCTGAGAGTTCAGCTCCCAGAGCTGGTTCGGGGCACTCCCAGCCACAACTCATGTGCCCACCCAAAACGCCCCCAGCCGGGGCCCTGTCATCACACTGTCGCCTTAGAAGCAAGTGCATTCTGCATGCAGCCAGTGGGACTGTCGTGTGGCCTGTGGATGTTGCTGGGAGTCGTGGGGCAGAGACACTCAGGAGTAGATCAGTCCCATCAATCCATCAATAATTAAAATCTGTGATGAGCCTGGCGTTGTGCTTGCTGCTGCTGGGGAGGGTTGGTGGGAAGAAAACACAAGCTAGACTGACATCTGGAATCGCAAAGAACAAGAGAACCGGGGAGGCAGGAGGCAAGCACGAGGCGGGGGGCGCTGGGCCAGGAGGGGCGGCTTTCTCCGAAGCGTTGCTGACAGGCTTCCATTCAGACAAATCAGTGCTCCTCGCTCAAATGATCCTTTTGGCAAGAATTGCAGGTGACCAGGCCAACACATGGCTCGACCGTGTGACCTCCACGCCGAAAAGTATTCAGCACACCACTGAGTTTCTGCCCTAACAGGCCGTGTCATGTATCATCGGGCTCGTTGATGATGGACAATGGAAAGCAATTCTGACTGAATTCAGTGATGGGCAGAGAGCAGGAGAGGAGCCCGGGCAGGCACAGGTGTCTTGGGCAGCAGGAAACCCTGGGCAGGTCCCTGGCCACTGAAATGATACGGCCAAATGGCTCTTAGCCCTTGTGCCCATGGGTTCTGGGAGAGAAGGCTGAAGTGGACGGTGCTGTGCCCGGGTCCACCCCACATGCAAGGGCACTCTGCCTGAAGTTCCTCTGGCGCCCACAGAATGCAGGAGGGGTAGTTTGCCAAAGTGAAAAAGGGGGCACTGGGAGCAAAAGGAGCTAAGGGTGCAGGGAAGGAGAAGGGAAGGACAAGGGAGGCCTGCTACCTCCACAGTGAGGGGGCAGGGAAGGACAAGGGAGGCCTGCTACCTCCACAGTGAGGGGGCAGGGAAGGACAAGGGAGGCCTGCTACCTCCACAGTGAGGGGGCAGGGAAGGACAAGGGAGGCCTGCTACCTCCACAGTGAGGGGGCAGGGAAGGACAAGGGAGGCCTGCTACCTCCACAGTGAGGGGGCAGGGAAGGACAAGGGATGCCTGCTACCTCCACAGTGAGGAGGTAGCTTTGTTTTCACACCATACGTAGAGAAGATGTGAATTTCAGACATACTCAAATATATGAGAAAAGCAACATTAATTTTTTTTCTGTAATTGGAATGTAATGGATGGTACAAGTCTTTTTTTTTTTTTTTTTTTTGAGACGGAGTTTCGCTCTTGTTACCCAGGCTGGAGTGCAATGGCGCGATCTCGGCTCACCGCAACCTCCGCCTCCTGGGTTCAGGCAATTCTCCTGCCTCAGCCTCCTGAGTAGCTGGGATTACAGGCACGCACCACCATGCCCAGCTAATTTTTTGTATTTTTAGTAGAGACGGGGTTTCACCATGTTGACCAGGATGGTCTGGATCTGTTGACCTCGTGATTCACCCGCCTCGGCCTCCCAAGGTACAAGTCTTTAGTCTATCAAATGGTAGAAACATACTCAGTGCAGGCTTTCTCATTTCTCTTGAGTTACATCTGAGTTTGTGTGAGGAAGGTGACTCCGTTAGCTATTGCTGTGTAACAAACCATCCCAAACCTAGTGGCTTCAAACACATGGCTTGTGCTTTCCACGATGCTGTGGCTCGGCTGGGTCATTCTGCTCCTCATAATGTCAGCTGGGGTCATGCACTGCTCTCATGCAGCTGGCACTTCAGGGGTGCCTCAGCCCTCCCCATGTGGTTTCTGTCTCCATCTCATTTCCAGGGCCTCTCCACACAGGGCTGGGATTGGGGAGGGCAAGCAAGGCACTTGGGCTGTGAAGTGTAAGGAGGTACTCACGCCCAGTCACGTACGTGCAGCTCTGTCTGCCAACATGCTGGCCCTTTTTGGGTCCTTGGGTCCCTCCTGCTACTCAGTGTCATTCTGGGGTGTCAGGGGCTCTGTGAGGCTGTGCTGGGCCCATGAGCCAAGACCTGCTGCCTTTTTTCCTTGAAGTTATTGCTAATTCCCTGCGCCATAACAAAAAAAAATTTCCTTAAATCTATTTGGTTTAAAACTAAATGGTTTAAACTAAAATCATTTCGTTAAAACTAATTTGGTAAATTACCAAAACTGATGACTGGCCAATTAAACCAAATTAACTTAAATCATTTTAAATTAAAACTAAATGTTTTAACTATCCCAAAGTACAGGGCCTTCCTTTCTCAGAGAGCCTCAATCTCTACTCCCTTCTTAATCTGCAGTCTGTCCCTGTCTTGCATAGGGAGGTCTTTCTCTGCTTAGCTTCTCTTCTCTCTTACTCTGCCCTACAATTTCCAGCTGCCTCAGTTCCCCCTCCCACCCCATCCCCTAATCCCATGCGCTTGTCCCGGGAAGACTGCCCCCATCTCACACTGCCATGGAAGTGCCTCAGGCAGAAAGCCAGGGCCACGGGCCAGCTCAAGCCCTTCCTTTTCTCGGTCTTGTACCCAGTATGTGTCATCCTGTTGTCCAGTGTCTGAAGACAAGTTCTTTCTTTCTTTCTTTTTTTTTTTTTTAAGGGAAGAAGGGGGGAGGGAGGGAGGGAGGGAAGGGAAGGGAAGGGAAGGAAGGAAATCAAGCAATGAGAGAGATATTGCCAACCTGGATCTAGAGGTTTACAAGTTGATTTCTTTTTTTGAGAGAAGGAAAGAAAAATAAGTAAAGGAGAGGAATAAAGAGGAAGAGAAAGAGGGAGAGTAAATGGAAATATTGCTTTATTCTGAAAAAAATTGGGTATTAGTAATGGCCAATCAATGTTTCATTTAAACTTATGAGTAGGTGTGATGTGGTATTGACAAGAATGTATATTTTGTGTATTTGAAGTGGAGAGCTCTATAAATATTTATTAAGTTTACTTGTTCTGGATCTGAGTTCAAGTCCTTGATATCCTTATTAATTTTCTGTCTCATTGAATCTAAGTCTCTTTATAGGTCTTATGTATCTGGGTGTTAGGATTGTTAGCTCTTATTGTTGCATTGATCCTTTTACCACTATATCTTTGTTGCTTTAAAATCTATTTTATCCGATACGAGATTTGCAACTCCTGCTTTTTATTTATTTATTATTTATTTTTGCTCTCCATTTGGTTGGTAAATCTTTCTCCATCCCTTTGTTTTGAGTCTTTGTGTATCCTTGCATGTGAAACAAGTCTGGATGTAACATGCTGTTGGGTTTTGGCTGTGTCTTTTGATTGGGGGATTTAGTCGATTTAAATTTAGGATTACTGCCATTTGATGTTGACTGGCTGTTTTATCCATTCGTTAGTGTAAATTCTTCTTTATATTGATGCTCTTTACTTTTTGGTATATTTTTAGAAAGGCTAATACTGGTTTTGTTTCTTTCTGTGTGTAATGCTTCTTTCAGAAGCTCTTGTAAAGCAGGCCTAGTGGTAATAAAATCTCTGAGTTCTTGCTTGTTCATAAAAGATTTTATTTTTCCTTCAGTTGTGAAGTTTAGTTTGGCTGGATATGAAATTCTGGGCTGAAGGTTCTGTTCTTTGAGGATGTTGAATATCGGCCCCCACTCTCTTCTGGCTTGTAGAGTTTCTGCTGAGAGATCTGCTGTAAGTCTGATAGGCTTCCCTTTGTGGGTAACCTGACCTTTCTCTCTGGCTGCCCTTAGTATTTTCTCCTTCGTTTCAACCCTGGTGAATCTAATGATTATGTGCCTTGGGGTTGCTCTTCTTGACGAGTATCTTTGTGGTGTTCTCTGTATTACCTGGGGTTGAATATTGTCCTGCTTTGCTAGTTTAGGAAAATTTTCCTGAATAATATCCTGAAGGGTATTTTCCAGCTTGGATTCATTCTCTCCGTCACATTCAGGTACACCTATCAAACGTAAATTTGGTCTTTTCACATAGTCCCACATTTCTTGGAGACTTTGCTCATTCCTTTTTATCCTTTGTTCTCTAATCTTGTCTTCTTGTTTTATTTCATTAAGTTGGACTTTGACCTCTGATATCCCTTCTTCTGCTTGAACAATTCGAGTGTTTAAACCTGTGCATACTTCTCAGAGTTCCTGTATTGTATTCTTCAGTTCCATTAATTCACTCATACTCCTCTCTAAGTTGTCTATTCTCAATAGGATTTCATCAAACCTTTTTTCAAAGTTCCGAGTTTCTTTACATTGGGCTACAACATGTTCTTTTAACTCACTGAAGTTTGTTATCCATTCCCTGAAGCAATATTCTAGCATTGGGATGTGCTCGTTCTCCATCAAGCCTTGTTCCATTGTTGATGTGAACTGTGGTCATCTTTAGAGGGAGAGGCGTTCTGATTTTGAGTATTCTCAGCTTTTTTACGCTGGTTTCTTCCTGTCATTGTAAATTTATCCTCCTGTTGTCTTTGAATTTACCAACTTTCAGATTAGGTCTCTTGAGTGGGCGTCCAGGTTGTTAGTTCCCAGGGCCAGAGCAGTGGCATTGTAACTGATGGTGCTTTTCTGCCCAGGATTCTCCTGTCTGGCTTCCTTCTTGTGTCGGTAGTAGGCGACTCTGCCTTCCCGGGGCTCCAAACCTCGGTCAGAAGGGGAACCGGTCCCATTTACTCTGCGCCGAGCGCTGCCGCACCGAGGTGCCATCACAGCTGCTGCGCCGGTCTCAGGAGTCGTGCTGGGGGCCCTTGTGGGTCCTCCAAACCTCGGTCAGAAGGGGAGCCGGCCCTGTTTACTCTGCTCTGAGAGCTGCCGCGTGGAGGTGCCGGCGGAGCTGCTGCACGGCCACGAGAGTCGCGCTGGCAACCCGTGTGGTTCCTCCACTGGGGATCTTCTGCTCCGTGAGCGACCAGAATTTGTCTGAAAGTGTGGCGTCCTCTAGTCCTCCGCGCCTTCCCTGAGAGCTGCAATCCCAGGATGTTAGCGATTGCCCATCTTGGATCGTCCGACAAGTTCTTTCTTACGTTTCATTCCCTTTCTAGTTATTTGCAATAGGAGTTGCTAGTCCAGTCAGTCTGCCACGGCAAAAGTCACTAAATATGTCTCTTTTTTAAAAAGCACGTAGCTGGCTTTGTTTTTAAGTTTAATCTGGGGATTTCTGTGTTTGAACAGTATCGTTTAACCCGTTTTCATTTTGGTAATATTTAATCACCTTAGTTAATATTTTCTGTCTGCCATGATTTTTCTTGGTTCCTTCTTTCTCCTTTCTTCCTTTATATTGGACTGATCAGCCTTTGTTTCTCTTACTTCTTTACAAGTCTGGAAGTTAGACATGCTCTCTCTGTTCTTTTAGTGGTCATCCTTAGCTTTTAACATAAAACTCTGCAATCTAGAGTTAGTGGGTTTTGCTGCTGTCACTTTAAGCAGAAGAATAAATGTGGAATGTTTTAACTCTGCTTTCTCCGTTTGTCCTTTCGTGTCACTGTTTCCTAATATTTCTCTTCCATGTTCTTTTTTTAAACCCTGAAATTAAACCCTCCAAAGTAAGTCTTGAATGTTGCATAGTCAATATTCATTTCCTCTTGCCGACATATTTGAAAATGTCCTCACTCACCATTGCTTCCCGTATCTCAGTCTTCCTTCTAGGTCACTTTCCTTTAGATGCTCTTTAGTTCAGTGAGGCTGTGTAGATGGTAAACTCACTATTTCTTTATTTTTGTTTATTTATGTGTTTACTTGTATGTTTTGTGCCCCAGTCTCTCTCTGTTACCCAGGCCGGAGTGCAGTGGCGTGATCTCTGCTCACTGCAACCTCCACCTCCCAGGTTGAAGTGATTCTCGTGCCTCAGCCTCCTGAGTAGCTAGGATTACAGGTGTGAGCCACCACACCCAGCTAATTTTTGTATTTTTAGTAGAGATAGGGTTTGACCATATTGGCCAGGCCGGTCTCGAACTCCTGACCTCTGGTGATCCGCCTTCCTCAGCCTTCCAAAGTTCTGGGATTACAGGCGTGAGCCACCGTGCCTGGCCTGAGAATTTAAAATAAATTTGGGCATAGAATTCTAAGTAGATGGGTATTTTTTCTCAGTACTTTGAGGCTGTCCCATTGTCTTTTATCATCTACTATTGCGGAAAAGAAATCTGCTGTCAGTTTTATCGTCCGTCCTCTACAGATCTGTCCTTTCTCTCCACATGGTTTTTCAGGTGCTCTCTTTGTCTTTGATGCTTTGCAATTTCACTGTGATGTGTCTAGGTGTTTCACTGTGATGCGCCTAGGTGTTTCACTGTGATGCGCCTAGGTGTTTCACTGTGATGCGTCTAGGTGTTTCACTGTGATGCGTCTAGGTGTTTCACTGTGATGCGTGTAGGTGTTTCACTGTGATGCGTCTAGGTGTTTCACTGTGATGCGTCTAGGTGTTACACTGTGATGCGTCTAGGTGTTACACTGTGATGCGTCTAGGTGTTTCACTGTGATGCGTCTAGGTGTTTCACTGTGATGCGTCTAGGTGTTACACTGTGATGCGTCTAGGTGTTACACTGTGATGCGTCTAGGTGTTACACTGTGATGCGTCTAGGTGTTTCACTGTGATGCATCTAGGTGTTACACTGTGATGCGTCTAGGTGTTTCACTGTGATGCGTCTAGGTGTTACACTGTGATGCGTCTAGGTGTTACACTGTGATGCGTCTAGGTGTTTCACTGTGATGCGTCTAGGTGTTTCACTGTGATGCGTCTAGGTGTTACACTGTGATGCGTCTAGGTGTTACACTGTGATGCGTCTAGGTGTTACACTGTGATGCGTCTAGGTGTTTCACTGTGATGCGTCTAGGTGTTTCACTGTGATGCGTCTAGGTGTTTCACTGTGATGTGTCTAGGTGTTACACTGTGATGCGTGTAGGTGTTTCACTGTGATGTGTCTAGGTGTTACACTGTGATGCGTCTAGGTGTTTCACTGTGATGCGTGTAGGTGTTTCACTGTGATGTGTCTAGGTATTACACTGTGATGTGTCTAGGTGTTTCACTGTGATGTGTCTAGGTGTTACAATACACAATATGTAATTTGGATTACATATACACGTGTGTATAGACACACACATATATGTAATATGCCCATATGTTTATATATGTGTAAATATGTGTAAATATATATTACATATATACATATATAACATAAATATATAAATTTCACATATGCATGTAAATATGTGTATATATTTTTGTGTATATGTAAAGTACATATATGTAAATATATGCATCTATGTCATACGTGATTTTATCTACTCAGAAGTTAGTGTTCTTTTTCAATCCACAAACTTTATACATTCCCAAGGACTGCTCTCCTTATCTATGAGGATTTGGTCGTTGAAAAGGAGGCTTTTTTGCAAGAAGTAGACATACTTTATAGTGGAAAAACTAGTAAAACTTCCAGTAGCATAAGGCAGAGGTTTCAATGCCAACATGATGAAATATTTATTTATTTATTTTTGAGACCGAGTGTCTCTCTGTCACCGAGGCTGGAGTGCAGTGGCGTGATCTCAGCTCACTGCACCCTCGGCCTCCCGTGTTCAAGTGATTCTCGTGCCTCAGCATTTTACCCAGACTAGAGTTTAGTGGTGTGATGG